CTCACAGTGAGGCGGGGCTTCACGCAGCAGTCCAAAAATGCAAAAATTTTGAAAAAATATCAAAATTCCGCAAAAAGCAAGTGGGCGTGGCCGAGGGGGCGGGGCCCGCAGTAGTGTCCGGCGTGATTTGGTAGATGACTTGCGCAGCCTAATAAGTGTGGTGAATTCGATTTGGAAGGTGGGTGAATTCGATTTGGAAGGTGGGTGAATTTGATTTGAAGGTGGGTGAATTTGGTTTGAAAAGGGTGAATTTGGTTTGAAAAGGGTGAATTTGGTTTGAAAAGGGTGAATTTGGTTTGAAAAAGGGTGAATTTGGTTTGAAAAGGGGTGAATTTAAAGTGAAAATGGTATATATACCCATGGAACAGGAAAATCACGAAAAGTTCCACCACCACGGTTAGAAGACCAAAACGTGAATGAAACTGAAACGGGAAAATCGGGAAATTCATCGGCCAAAAAATTTTTGGAGATCTGCCTGCTATGTGATTTGTTCGGAGGCGGCGGTCGCAGTTGAAGCAAATAAGGAGGGAACCCAACAACTGGGAGTGGGGACGTCCTGTCGGTGGTAACATTCGAGCTCTCCGTGCGACACACACTTTGACATGTACAAGCAATGTGAAGTTCTCCTTTTCAGTGCCACCCATGACTCTGCAGTTATGCCTCTTCCGGGTGTTAAGGACTCATCCGGACTAATTCAACTTTACCCATTCTGTTGTCGCAACTGCGGTCCTTAATGATATGGTGCAGCCTTCTCACGGTTGAAAGTCTGTAGGGGGTAGACAATGATTGCTTTTTTAAATTCATTTCCTTACATTTTAATGTAGACCCGGCGAAGCCGGGCCGTGAAACAAAAGGAGGAGCAGCCGGCGGCAGCCAGGTTTTTTTCAAAATTGAGAGGGATAGCGGATTAAAGACAACTGTACACATGAAAGACCCTCCCATCATTGATGTGAGTGGGTCCGCACTTGTTGTAGCATGCCAGTTTCTTCGCACAAAATTCCAGGGGTGCAGCGCTAAAAGGCAGTAAGAACCGGGGACTGTATCCCGATTCCTCCCGCGCTATCCTCAAGCTGCTGCACCTTCAGTGATAACAAAATTCCGCAGCAAATACGCGTCAGACGCAGAATAAGCAGAAGTTAGCGCTCATAAAATAGGGCATTTACAGTTCTCATCATTGCGGACCGGTGGGGCGTGTCAATGCGGCTGCGTTTGGCGCGGTGTCAAAGTCGTTCTGCACCAGTTGTTTGAAGGAGTCAAGTAAATTACTCTATTGATATCCTTCGTATTGCTCGTGCTCGTAACACATTTTGTCGTCCAAGCGTTCACACAATAGGTGAAAGGCTGAGACGGCTTCAACAGTGTGCGTACTAAACTTGGCTGAATCGCCCCACCGGTCCCGCAATCTGAGAGGACTGCAGCTGTGAACAGGCGTTTTTGTGGCCTGCTGCAAGCCTTTGGAGTATGGAGACAGCACCTGGGCATCGCCATTTTCCATCCCGCTGCCCTTTTGACCGTAGACAGTGGCACGCTAGGAGACAGCAACCTGGGATCCTCTACCTCCGCATCGCCATCTCGATATTGACCCCCGTATGGCATGCCGGAAGGGAATGTGCATAGGTCTGAGAAACTTTGGCCACTGCGTGCTTCCCCTGACCGAATGCAAATCTACTTCGCGAAGACTGACATTGACTTGCGATCAAATAACATGCGACGACAATCCTTGCACATCTTGTGAAACTGCAAATGGACGAACGCAACTCATCACATGAGCAGTAAAGGTATGAAAGAGGAGGCAGTGCCCTCACCCGCCATGCAAGAGGTCACTAGCCTCTGAACCACTGAATAAGCAATTAATGTGGTAGCCGGATGGCAAAAATGAAAATGTTGTCTGTATGTCACTTCAGACCTCAGGTTTATGATACAGTGAGCTAAGAATCACGCGTGCTAATGGATTACTGAAGAATTAGTCGGTTTTTTAGCGGCACATCTATGTGTAAGGCAGCCTGCCAAGCGTCTGTCGCTCATATCTTCCCTCACCTTTTTTCAACTATTACTTAGAAGCAAGACAATAACATTGGTTTCGCAGTAGTTGTGACGTGATATCTAAAAAACATTCTTTTCAGATCACAGTAGCGGAAATGAGGATGAAGATGAGGCACAAGAATCGCTACAGAGAGTAAAAGAAATCTTGAAGAAAATTGAGGATGCTGACATCAATGACATCCACTTCGATTTCTCTGAATTGACTGCATCAATAGAGAAGCTCCTTCGAAAGAGCTCTAAATCATGGACTGCAAACGAATTGAAGCGTGTTACCAGAACATTCGAAAAGACCGTCCAACAAGTGCTGGATGACCTTGACGGTGCATCTGGAAGGGTCGGCAGAGGCAAATCACGCCAAGTTGACAAAATAGTCCAAGCTTTCCAACATTTTTTTGACGTCTTAGACATTAAAGGCTTCGCGCAGGAGTCGGCGAAAAGGAGCCTCGATCGCTTGGTGAAGGGCAGGCGCATCGATCCACAGAAGAAACTCGAGTGGCTTCTAGATATTATTGGGAGCATTTCGTTCCGTGCAAAAAATGGAAAACAAAGCAATGAGTGGTGGTAGCAGCACCCATTTCGATTCCCTGAATTCTGTGTCGCTTTTAGCTTCTCTTTTATCACACTGAGTGACAGCTACAGCTCGCTTTTTTAATTCTACTATAAGCAGTTACTGATTACTTTGAATAAAATAAAGCTTGGCTTGTACCCTTTGTACTCTTAATTAACACCACCAGTCTGAAGATTTTTAGCTGAATTTTGCCAACACTGAAGTGCCTCCTATAGCTGTAATAAAACAATCAGAAGGCGCAGTTCGGCGACGGCGGGGTGGGGGGGGGAGGGGGGCTGTCGCTTCCCATAGATGTGTCGACCCATCTAGATAGCCTTTTCCTGAGTTGACACGTTTTACCATGACGTTTCACCATGGTGGCTAGACGAGCTTGCTCCAGCTTCACAAGAGTTCACAAGTTTCACCAGAGTGAGACTTGTAAACCGGAAGTAGTGAAGCAGTGGGGAGACGGTAAAGAGGATCGTAATTCGCCGCACCGCCACGCGCGGCGATGGGCGCGGCGTTTTCATAACTCGTTTTAACCTGTCGAATGAAGCACCGGACTTCATGTAGACCCCGTCATCGTAGACACTCATTACTGTTTTCGGTCCTTAATTGCATGTTGTCGCCATCTACTGCCTGAAACCATCGTGCTTAGCGGGTGGGAAGTCGCACGCGACGCCCAGCAGCGCGGCAAATAA